GTTCTTGCAATGTTAATCACAGTTCCTGAAGTAGTACAGAAATCAGGATGAGGCTAGATATTTACAGATTTTTGAAAATGGTTCCTCAATAGCACCAGAGAAAGAAGAAAATGGGGTAAATGTAAACAAAAGTTGTCTTTGTATTATACAATTCACTACTCATTGAAAAAATGCACATCCACTTGGAATTTTTCTACTTCTATTACTTTTATTAAGGCCTTTAACTCAATTCAGACACTATTTTGCATGGTACAGATATAAATTTTAAAGTTCCCTTAAGTATATTTAATCTTGAGCTATATTTTAATGTTATATTGGGAAACTATATTTATCTTTATATTACAGCAATGTACTTAAAGGAAACACACTTTCCTCAAGCTTTTTATCTTTTTTTTCCTGAATAAAAGTAATCTTAACATAAAAGGACCAGTAAATTTAAGTTTTCCTTTGGAAGAAAATATTTCTATACTGAAGTGACTGTTTTAAGAAACTGGATAATTTAACATTTTATTCCTTTGAAAAATGATTTACAAATTATCTTGTTTATCTTACCTTTCTCATTGCCAAACTACACTGTTTTGAGATTGTTTTCATCTTAAATCCATCTACAAGGATAAAATTTTTCACTTTTTCAGAAATTTCAATTAATTCAAGAAATGTACAAGTCAATTTAGACAACCCGGCAGAAATCATGCATTTTACTCTTTGTTCTTTTAAAAGGCCTTATCATAAGCCATTGTCGTGAATGGAAAGAATACATTGTTCCTTTACTATTGGGAAAATCATGAAAATGTTGAAGCCTTTGAAAATGTCAAGCTCTTAGTAAACAGCAGCTTACAGATCATTGAAATCAATACTTCATTAATACTGTTTTATAAAATTTTTGAAATAATTAAAAAGTCAAAAAACTTTCACTCTTCCCTTGTGTATATAGAGAATTCCATCTTTAGAATTGTTTGTGTTTTTAGAGTATCCATCTTGAAGATTACATGAAGTTATCATTGCTGTCATCAAGGAGTAAGGAAAATGTTTGTCCTGATTATTGCAGTTGTCTTCTCTCTCCTTTGTTCTCTTGGGTTAGGAAAATAGTACAAGGCCAGAGATTGATATTATGGTACACTTTGAGTCAAAACCCTCTCTTCAACTCTGTAGTCCACCCAGAAACCTAAGTCTTAGGAACTCAGAGTGAGGTGAAGCTAAATTATAATATGAAGGGATATGCCTCTACTATTTTTTTCTTTATCTCTTTCTCTTAGTCTTTAGCAGTTTGCTTTCCTTCCGATTTCCTTCCTCCCTATTTCGTTCTGGATTTCAATAATTCTACATTCATATTTGCTGCGGTCCATGGTTATTCTCATCTTTCCATACTATCCATCCATTCACTGAGGTGTCTCTGGATTTCAGGGTCCGAGGAGTGAGCTGCTTCCAAGAGTTTCCTTTCCAGGTTATGTTTGTTTTGTTTGAAAACCTGCATCTTTCCCAGTGCTAGACGTGGACTCCACACTGCCTGATTCGGGGTTACCCAAATGTTCACAATTTAAAGTTGGGTAATTCCCATTCACAATGTCCTCTGTACATCAGTTTTGACAAAATAAACGATACTAAACTTCTAGTTCATTTTAGATTCAGAAATCAAATGAATGAGCTGTGAGAGGGGGAGTAATTTCATTGCCAAGTTAAACATATTGATTCCTGGGAATTTTCTTTCAACTTGAAAATTTTAAATTTGAAAATGTGAATCATTTTCTCTTCATATACAGTTTTAGGACTTTTCCAAGGTACTACCGTAGGAAGAAGACAGGGAAAAAGAATCACAACTCAGTGAAAATAGTGATAATCATCTAACATTATGCTGTTTAGGGATACAAAAGATCAGCTGGACTTCAACTTGCCTTCCCTACTCAATTTTCCCATATCATCCTAGCATTCCTTAAGGTTAAAAAAAAAAAAATAAGAAAATGCATCTTCAAGAGCATACGGAGGCCTCTTAAGGTCCATAAACATTGCTTATAAATACATATAATATAATTACTTTAATTAGCTTTAATGACAGTATAATATAAGATCCAGCAACCAAGGTTGAAACTGGCTCTGAGTTTCAGGAGATCTAGTTCATGGTTGGCTGGCTCCACAGCAGATGCATTACTGCCAATGGGTGTGGTGGAAGAGAGATACCTAGTGCAGAGGGGCCAGGAGGCAGAGCACATAAGGAAACAGTACCAAGGCGGAGAGACAGAACCAGACACAGTGTCCAAGGTAACGCCTCCAAGAAAAATCCAAACACACCCAGAAGTATGCGTTAATCCTCTGGGCAGTGCCCAAATTCAGTTGCCCTTACAGCCTAACCATCACATTCTATCCCTTTCCAATTTGATACTCAAATTTTGAACAGTCTAAAGCTCCTTGTGAAGAGAGAAAGATTCCAAAATGTTTATTCATTTTTAATTTACTAGGAACTGCTGCATTTACCCTGGAAATGAATCTAGACATTGAGATGATTTTAGTAACCCATATTACACTTTCTATGCTTACACATGCATGCTTGCATATATTTTTTTCTCATTATGTTCATGACAGCAGTGTTTCAGAGAGTATATTAACCCATTTTAGAGATGGGAAAGCTGAAATACAGACTTGCTGTTTTAAAGCTTACTTAGCTACATGGTAGTAAAATCAAAACTATTACCTACAATTCTTGGTTCTAAGTCCAGATTATATTTTTAATGTACACCTATGGAAACTAATTTGGTAACTGAAAGGCGATTAATATCTAAAGGTAAGAAAAAGAATAGGAAAGGAGTGGGAGTCCCCTACATATAGGTCTGGCAATGCCTCACCTGTCAGGACCAAATATATTTTTCCATCAGCAAAGTATTTAATAATATGGTGATATTCTCAGAATAAGTAATTTCTTTTTTAAAATTTCGGTACAGCTCTTATTAAACCACAAAAATGTACCACATATTACAGGTTTACAAAAGAGGTGCTTAAAAGAACAAATGTGTCCAATTTTCCCTGTTGGAAACAAAAGTTACTATGACAATAAAGGGAACTGCTCAGTCACACACAGCTTCTACGGGAACAGCGGTGCTGAGGTAGAATGTAGATTTTCTGGATCACGTTCGATGTGGTATACATTTCCCTGGTGATGACAACAATACAAAGACCAAGGTTAGCCTGTTAAATGAAATGTGAGCCAGAGCTGGGCACTTGCAAGTGGCTGCTGGCACAGTTTTAGGTGTCCTGCCAGCATCCAAACCCACAGGGTCATTTGGCAGTCAGGTGTCATTAGTCAACTCTCTCCCACCCTCCCTCATCCCATCTGTTTTCATCTAGCCTATTTGTGTAAATTACCTCTCAGTATGCAGCAGGGCGCAGTCTAGTCATGTATTTTCCTCCTACTCCTTTGTCTTTTTCATCCCCGACTGCTCATTTAGGCTTATACCAATCATTTGACCCAAAATTTAACATGAGAGGCAAGGTAATGGTTCCAATTAATATTATTACTGTTACAAAGCAGCGTCCCTTATGACTATGGTAGAGAGACCACTATGGATATTGTAATAAATGTCAAAGATACAGTTTGCCACTGGCCATTCAAATCATGATTATTACCATCAGAGACCAAATGTAATGATGCTCTTTAAGAGGATGTAGCATTTGTGTAATTTTGTGTGGACATTTTGCCAAGTTAATATCTGAAGAGATTCTTGAGAGAGCACTGCTCCCACCTTTTCAAAAGGAGATAAAATCTGATTTCTCTTGAGTTGACCGTATCACTTACTAGCATTTGGAATGCCCAGTACTCTATGATTCCTTTGAATACAATCAAGTCATAAACATAACTGTCTCAATGCCACATGAGGAAAGATTTCAGGATCAGCCTGCACTACACAACCAGTATTCTGTAGCACAAAAGCAATTCAGGAGAAATAATTATTATGTGGAAGCAACTGAGAGCAAGGCTTTCGTACTCTGGAAAAGATTTAAAACTGAAAGGACTATTTCCTAAGGGCAAATAAGAATAGACCACAGCAAATAGCCCTGCCACTGCCTTTCCAGCAATGACAAATAATGAGTCATCTTGGAGCCATAGTTTGCTTGTTGACATCTAACTCCAGTTTTCATGGAATCATAGAAAAGTCAGTCTGATTGAGGTCTTTCTACCTTTTATGAATCTGGACCGTAAAGATATTCAGTCATATTTACTGTACTTTGTTAAGTTTGGTTTTTATGACATATTTGACCAAAGACATAAGCCCATGGTTTTTAACTCACTGTTACTTTGTTGTAGATAGATGCATTTAGGAGAAAAAAGTGAGCAGTTGTACTGTACAAATAAGCAGCCCTCAGTTCTATTTCAGTGTATTTTAAAGTTGGTAAGACCCTGAGAATAATCTAGATTTGTCATTGGTTGATTGATTTAACCTCTGAAGTCACTGGAAAAATGGTTTTTCTTGTCTATATGTAAATATTTTCAATGGTAAATAGCCATTTTCTGTGGGGTGGGAATTGCATTTTTAGATAATCCTGGCTTTTTGACTGTGAATAATATTAACCACACTTAAACAGTTAATTCAGTTTTTCCTTTCTAAAATCCAACTTTAAACTAATGTAAGGATTACAATTACTCAATTGTTTGAAGGCATAAGAGTGTGTAAGAAAGTGTGTAAGAAATTTTTTCTTACATAAAGTGTGTAAGAAAAATGATAAAATAACCTAGCAATTTATATCTGCAAACAGATATTTGAAACTGACTAAAATTTGTAAGACTTAGAATGATATATCATATAAAATAAAAAAGATTAAGTAGCTATACATTTTCATTGGTGTAAATAAAGACAAACTATTTTATAAAATATGCTAAATATTTATTACATATGTAAATATATACTACATGTTAAATATAATGTAATGTTATAAATGATAATTTATATACATTAAATAACAAATATTAAATATTGTCACTTGTAAATAAATACATAGAAATGTGAAGAAAATATATGGAACAATATAGAAGTTAAAAAGTTTTAACACTGTTATCTTTACTGTATCACACATTTGACAAAGATAGGGAGAAAGATAACTTTTTATTCTGTGTACTGTTTATATAGGTAATTTCTTATCCTAAAATTCAAGATTGAACACTAAAAATAATTTTGAGTAATAGAAAAATGTCAGTCATTGAAACTTTAGAGTTCAGACATCTTTTCTCCTCCACTCTTTTTGCTATAATTTCTTCTTGAGGTTTGTTTAGCTTTGTTTTGTTTGCCCAGTTAGTGCACAAAACCATCTCACCTCTGTCCGTGAGTTTCGGAAGTGACGTAATATTATAAGTGTGATGGAATGTAACATGGCTCCTTTTTTCGTTCAGGTTTTCTATAACTACTTTGTGCATTGCAATTTTCTTTTAATTAGAACCATGAATTATAATGTCCAGTATTGTCTCTTCTCCTCTTGCCTTTTGTATATGCATTCAAAATTTTACACTTTTATACTAATACTTCTAATACCACTAATACTTTCATACTAATTATTTTATGCTAATACCACTAATTATTTTATACTAATGCCAGTAATACTTCTTATCCTCCCAAATCCATGCTAAAAGACACCTCCTGTAACTTAGTCCAAAGGCTGGCAAGCTCTCTATAAAGGTCTGCATAGCAAATATCTCAGACTGTCTCTGGTTTCTAGCTACCCCTCTCCCTCACCCTTTTATCTTCCTTCCCTTTTCCTTCTCACCTCCCTCCTCCTGCCATCTCTCTCTTGCTTCCTTGTCCAGTTACTCTTGTTCTTGTACTTATTCTTTTTCTGTTTCTTCTTTCTTCCTACAAAAACATAAAATCATTTCTTAACTTATAGGCCGCATAAAGAGGTCTGGATTTAGAGTAAGAACTGTGTTTTGCTAATCTGCGTTCTAGTTAGTTTTCTCTTTATCTTCCATCTCTTCCTTCTCTTCTCCTTTTTATAGATATTCTAAAAGACAATATATAAATCCTGAATGTTCTTCAAATATATTTTCCTAGGCTTAATGGAACTTTCAGTGGAATTATCTCCTATAGTTAAAAAATGTTACTTTCTGATAAAATCTGAATAAACAATCAAATACTATCCCACAAAACCAAAGTTCATTCCCTTTGAATTCCTGGGGCAGATTTTACTAACAAATTTATTATTAAAGATTATTCTATACCTTTCAAAATAATTTAGAAAAATAACATTTATCTTAATGAGAAACAATAAACCTATGAGGATTGTCGAAGCAGGGCTAGCAAATATTTTTAAAATCTCCAGATGTAAGGTTGTCCTCATTTTTGAGGAGTTATTCTGGTTGGATCTTCTTATTTCTGAGAAATCGTCTTCTCTTTGGTGTCTGATGCTGGTGGCTCTTGGTGACCTGCTCTGGGTTTTGTCGTCTTTGCAGAGTCAAAAGGATTCTCTTCCGCAGCCAGCGGAAGACCTGTCCCACTCTCAGACAGCTGGTGGTTGGTGCATCAGAAATCGTGTCCTCCTCCTCCAGCTGTTCAGAGAAGGCTGAACAGGTGTCCGCAGTGCCCTTGTTTTGGTTGCCAGTCTTCTCACCTTCCATCTGCCAAGAAAAGGAGGCTGAATTAGGTACACATGATGCCAACAGTAATGGAACTGATATTCACTCATTTATGAAATTGATATCCTTTTACTAGAAATAGCCTGATTATAAATGGAGAGTTTCAGTGCTCATTAATACTGAAGAACACAAACTTTTTTTTTTTAAGCTTGATTATCCCTTCTCTTTGTTCTTATCCTCTCTCTCCCTCAGAGCTTCCTTGGTATTTTCTCTGCCTCTCATCCCTAAGTCCTTTCCTTGCTGTCTTCCTTCATCTTATGCTAGTCTCTTCTGACATACATCATCCAGCCCTGCTTCACAGAAGTTTACTACAGGCTTCCTGCTATCCACCCTGGCACGCACATCAGGCCTGTCCCTAACACTCTGCGAGGCCTCTCTATGCTCACCTCAGCAAGTTCCTCTTCCTTACGCATCCGGGGAATCTCTGGGACTTGGATAATGCCTTTGTTTGCTGGTGATTTTCTCCTGGGCAAGTCTTGGCCCATGTCATGGTCTTGATGACTGACCCGAGACATACGTGGAGTGGAGCTTCTGCACAGTTTGAGGTCTTCTACTGGAGTAAGTTCGAGGTAATCAAAGGCATTATCTTCATTATTTCTCCTATTTTTTTTCTTATTTTCTTTGCCATATTTTTTACTCTCATTGTTGTCTTTTTTATTTTCTTCATCATCTCGGTGAACATCCTGAAATGTTTTAAGCAGTTTCACTAGTCCATCCAGTTTGTCCTCAGTAAGTCTTGTTTGGTCTTTGGGACACCTGTTCAGCAACCCCTCACCTCCACTTAGGTTTTCATGAGCTGTTGACTCTTCAAAGTCATCATTATCGGCCCAGGCCACGATAATGCCCAGTTTGCAAATCTGCTGTGGGTTGTCCTGAATTAGATTTCGTTGACTTATACGTCTGTTTATACTTTCTGTTCCCCACGTGCCTTGGATAGGAGGGATGAGGTTGACTGAAGAACATACATTGGAAGTTGAGTCTTCAAGAAGAACTGTTTCCTCGATGGAAATGTTGTCTTCACAGGGGAAATAGCCCACAGAGAAGCTCAGAGTAGACGTGATTTCAGAGTCGCAGTCCCCCATGTCAGGGGAGTCGCTTCTAGGAGACGAGGATGCCATGGAATTCAAAAGTCAATATGAGTGTCTTGGCCAACACCGGAAACTTCCGGGGATGGGGAGATGGACGATAGGAGGGTGAGATTCGCCGCCAACTCTGGGAGAATAAGCGGGAGATGTGAGAGGTACTTCAGCATTCAAGACTCCGTGGCTAATGGTCTAAGTAGGTCATAATCCGTGTTCTACGACTGTTGGTCACCATGGCAATATCAGAAGCCAATAGCCAGAAGGTGGGGATAGAGAAAAAACGGATAGGAAACGGTAGGATCTACCCCTTATTTCCAACATATTGTGTATACATACCCTGCAGGCAGAAGAGGGTCCCTCGTGAGGCCAGAAAGAACAGTGCAAGTTGCGGAGTGGGTGAGGGGGTGGGGGTGGGATGGGGGTTACTTTCGGTTTGTTTTGAGAGTGTACAAGATAGTCCCTGTTTCAGGAGAACTATGCTCCTCTCTGGGGAGATCCACATAGAGGTCCTGGTATGGGACAGGGTGGTAACTATAACAGAAGGACCTAAAACTCACAAGAGGACAAAAATTAGCAGCTTGTGCAGGTAGGCTGGGAGTGGGTAGCAGAGCAGGAAAGTTGTTCTAGAGATAGCTTCTGATCAGAGAATTTATGGATAAGTAGAGAGGAGTAGAGCGAGTTGACAAAAGAGACAGACAGGGAACCTGATGTGGTGGCACAAGGCTAAGGGAGGGACGTGCACCAGGGCGCAGTTTCGGCGAGAACATACCGCGGATGAGAAGCTGCCTTTGCTGTGGGGCGATCAAGCTCAGTGGGGGACGCGGGCTTTAGTGAGGCTGCAGAAGGCTTTTTTCTCTGCTGGGTAACCTAAATTTTATCCTCTAAGTAGGCAGGGATTGTGGCCTTCATCTACGTGATACTCTTCCAGGGAGTTAAAACATACTGCAGTAATTCTAACTCCCTAATAAATATTAAAATATATTTTGGAGATAATTTATTTTTTATTGTATTTTAAAGATAAAAGAACAAAATCATATTGATAAACACACAGCCATTTACAAAAACAATAAAACAAAAACAATCAGAGCAATACAGAATTTCAGACAAGGTGATAGGAAATTGACATGGTTGGTTTTTTTGTTTGTTTGTTTTTTGTTTTTCTCTGGTACCGGGAACCGAACTCACGACCTTGCGCTTGCCAGGCAGGCGCATTTGCCGCTCAGCTAAATCCCCTGCCCTTGACGTGGTTGTTGTATTACATATTGATATCTTCGAATTCCTTACTCAGATAAACAAATATAAGCATGTAAGATTGATCAGACAATTAAACATTAACTGTTCCTTTCAATAAAGCAATAGACATCGGTAGTACAACTACCTTAGCTTTCCTGTGTGTACATATACATATTTTCCCTTCTTTTCTCTTTTCCCTCACTCAGTTGGTCTTTCTCTTGATCAGTTTCTTTCCCTCTCAATTGGACATAATGTAAAACACAGCAAACTTCCAAAGGACTTGCCCGCATGCGCGTTCCTGGTTGGCACGAATGAGATGCCAGCGCTTGGATCTGTAGGGGAGGAGGCAGACTGTGCTGCGATGAAGAAGAAACGGAGGAAATGAAGCGGGAACAGAGGCCGCAGTGTGGGGAAAGCAGGAAAGGGAAGCACGGGCAACGGTCAGTTTCTGCATCCCTTCTCCTAATGAAAGAATCAATCCAGGGGCAGAGGTTCAAAGTACGAGTGGTTGGCTGCTGCTTTCGCAGGGTGAGGGCTGAAGGGATCCAGTGCACCGGTAGCGGGTAGGTTACAATAAAAGAAGCTGCTCACCCCCTGACCTGAGAAGGAAAGTGAAGATGAGTGTGTCAGAGATTGCCGTGGGGAGGAGGAATGGCTCTTGTTTCTGCCTAGGCTTCTGCAGGGAGGCCTCTGCCTTTGTCCTGCAAAGCAGCCAGGTGTCTGTGACTGGGATCTCTGTCCTGGTTCTCCTTGCTTGTTGTATGCTCCTATTATCTGTCTCCACAGTGTTTTCAGGAACCCGAAGTGCCGAGGTCCTTCTGGAAAGGGCGCTTTGCCCACAGGCTGGTCTCTCCTGGTTCTGCCCCCCTGACTACTTTCCCTCACCCTTTCTGCCCTGATGGCCGCAGGAATCCCGGTGGGGTTTCACTGAGTGAGGCTCCTGCTGATCTTGCCTGTCCCTCCGTCCACACAGCCACTCCCCCTCCGTGGGTTCCTCCGGGGTGGAGGTAGTCACTTTCATGATCTGTGTCCAGCTGTGCTATTCTGAGGACAAATGTGAGTGGCATAGGATGGGAGGCTTTTGTTTCTGTTTTCTCAACTAAATAGGGAACCTCCTCTACAACCAAATCCGTCTCATTAAGTACAGTGCTAATACGATCTGGTTGGCTCTGAACAGTTGGAATAGTGTTTCTAGGTTCCATTTAGAGATGTATATAGAGCATCAGGCTTTGTGTAATGGGTCAGTTCAGTTTTCTCACAGTAAAGTACCCGTATACTTTGGAAGAACATAATCTAAAATCTACATCGCTTAAATTTGTGTTTGGTTGTTTCATTATGCTTCAAATTTTAAGTCGCGCTAAAAGAAGCCATAAGATATTTTGAGCCAGACGTGGCGGGTGCAGGCCTGAAATCCCAGCAATCAACAGGCTAAGGCAGGAGGATCGCTACATTTTCTAGGCCAGCCTGGCCTAAATAGTGAGTTCAAGGCCAGGCTCAACTACAAGAAAGACCCATCCTGAGAATCTCTGGAGCAACAGAAAATGTGGCCACTAGAAGCTCTTGGGATCCAGGGCCACAGGGAAGAGATGGACATCAGAGACAATTTCGCCTTGTCAGCTGCTGCTATCAGCTGCTTTGGTGGTGGCGGTGAATAGGTTTGCAAATATTTTAATCTTTCTATTACTTTTTATAAACAGGATACAGTTGGAAATTTATTAGAAAAGTAGAAGAATAGGTGTCAGTTGAGCTAGCAGAGTAGTAGAGGCCCCACATCCCCAAGTGGAAGAGGGATGTCTGCAGAACAAGGCTTTAGAAGAATCACTGTCACTTCCTTTTCTATTAGAATAAGGCTAAAGATCCACCTTCATGAAGCAAGCACGCTTTTCCAGTGCTGAAACTAGAGTATTTGTGCATTTATAGTGCAGCCAACCAGACCGGAGAAAACAACTGATAAACACAGAAACATCTCTATTGGGGTTCCATTTATCTTTATGTGATGCAATTACAAATACATTCTGAGGTGCCATTTGCTGTCTGTCTGTTTTCCTCCTATAACCCTGTTTTAATTCATGGTCAGCTGTATTAGTTGAGTAGATTTGTGACCCTTTGATTATCTTTTTCTCTATACTGTTCAGTCTGATTCTGAAATTTGGAATATAAACAACTTTTCAGGTTTAATCACTAAGAGAAATAGAGACTCTTCTGGTTCCACACTGTGATAACAGTGTGACTCGGATCACCCTCTGCTCTGAAGGAAAGTCTGGCGACCAAGGCAGGAGAGGCAGTGGGGAGGGTGCAGTAATCCCTGCATAGAGCTGCATCAGTTAGATCCACAGGTTTAAACAGAAAGGAGAAACTCACAGCCACTTGTCTGTATTGGCTGGAGTGAGCCAATCAACTAGTTCAAGTATTTGGTTATCTTGAGTTACAAATATGGGTCATGGGGTGGTTAAAGCAGATAAGGGTAACTGAGAAAACAGGTGGGTTTGAATTGGATGAGAACTCATCTTTGATCCCATTTTTCCCCTTCTTACTGGCTGCCCCATAACTGCAGGTACCGATGGGTATAATGTATAGTGGTATCTTCTTGTAGTTATTCTTGTCTTTTCACTAACTTCTCAATTTATTGAACTTCTTACAATTTATCTAAGCTCAATGATTATTGTATGCAAGAAGGGAATTTCAGTAAGACAACTGAATTTAGAATATTTTGCGGGGGTGGAGGTTACTGGGAATCAAACTCAGAAATTTACTGTAGCTAGACAGATGCTTCTGCCCCTGAGCTATGTTCCTGGCCCCAAACAACAATTTAAAACTTCCTTAATTCAAAATACCTTCTCCATATACCCATACTAGATGTAGTAATATTCAGGAGTGTAAACAATTGTGTGAGGAGTTTGCAATAAAAACCATACTTATTCTGCTTACCAAAATCTTCCTTTGAAAGAAGAAAAATATTTTACATTAAAGAAAAGATCAATGCCTTATCCTAAAGTTTATTATTTTAGAAATAACTTTTTTATAAAGTTAATTTTTGGCCAACTTTTAAATCTCACATATTCTTAAGGCATTATTGCATTACACTTTAGCATTTTCAGTTTTTTGTTTGTTTGTTTGTTTTTTGCCTTTTTGAGACAGGGTCTCTCAGCATGGCCTTGAGCTCATTTTGTAGCCCAGGATGGTCTCAAACTCACAACGATCCTCCTGCCTCAGCCTCCTGAGTGCTGGGATTATAGGCGTGCGCCACCATGCCTGGCCACTCTTGCATTTTCTATGCTGAATGAGCATGGCTTCTAAGTCATATTTGTATGTTGTTGATTAATTAAACATTCTCACTTCTCTCCATCACAAACTTAACTCTTGTTGCCATTGAAATATCCTGTTTTGAGATAACCTCCTTGAATTAAAATGATAGTGTAAGGAATGCGTTCAGATTGCAAAGCAATGTTAGAAACACACTTATTTTAATGATGTTTAATTAAATATTACTAGGTAAGTCATATAGCCTAAGAAGTACGAATAATAAAAAGATCATATTTTAACATAAAAAACCTCATTTACAAACTGTAGGTTAAAACTAAAGTAAAATAATTCAATATTGATACAGTAAAAATAAGCCACTTTATTAAAACTCCTTCCAACTTTATATGCACAAAATAGGTGTGCTCCAGTGGTGTATATATTGCATTATTCCACATAACTTGCCATCATTGCCACCAAGATAAATAGGTTCACTCAAACTAGTTCAGCTCCATTCAGTTGCAGTTGAAGCAAATGGGAAAAACAGGGATCTTGAACGAAATCTGCACCTTCCCTCATTGAGGTCAAGAGAAGGGCTGAATGGAATCTGGCCTTTCAGGCAATGTGGGATTTGTCTAAAGGTAAATTAACAACACAATACGTACATTAAATCAGATTTTGAAAACCAGTGCCAAACCTAT